GGGCTGGGAACACGTGTCTCCAGCCCCACCCATGGCTTATAATTGGTTTTCCTGAATTTTTGTTATTCCTTTAATTAGTACGTCATTCCTATGAATTCCTATGATACATTTCGGAATTAATACGAAAGATTTTAGGCGGCAAATAAACGATTCCCGTGGGTGGGGCTGGGAACACGTGTCTCCAGCCCCACCCATGGCTAATAATTGGTTTCCCTGAATTTTTTTTTTCCTATAATTAGTACGTCAATCCTATGAATTCCTATGATAGGTTTCGGAAATCCTACGAAAGATTCCGGCCGCAAATAAACGATTCCCGTGGGTGGGGCTGGGAACACGTGTCTCCATTCCCTCCCATGGCTAATAATTGGTTTTCCTGAATTTTTTTTATTCCTATGATTAGTACGTCAATCCTATGAGTTCCTATGATAGGTTTTGAAATTCCTACGAAAGAATTCCGGCCGCAAATAAACGATTCCCGTCTGAGGGGCTTGGAACACGTGTCTCCAGCCCCACCCATGGCTAATAATTGGATTCCCTGATTTTTTTTTATTCCTATAATTAGTGCGTCATTCCTATGAGTTCCTATGATAGGTTTCGGAATTCCTAAGAAAGAATTCCGGCCGCAAATAAACGATTCCGTGGGTGGGGCTGGGAACACGTGTCTCCAGCCCCACCCATGGCTAATAATTGGATTCCCTGAATTTTTTTTATTCCTATAATTAGTGCGTCAATCCTATGAGTTCCTATGATAGGTTTTGAAATTCCTACGAAAGAATTCCGGCCGCAAATAAACGATTCCCGTGGGTGGGGCTGGGAACACGTGTCTCCAGCCCATCCCATGGCTAATAATTGGTTTTCCTGAATTTTTTGTATTCCTTTAATTAGTACGTCATTCCTATGAATTCCTATGATACGTTTTGGAATTAATCCGAAAGATTTGAGGCGGCAAATAAACGATTCCCGTGGGTGGTACTTGGAACACGTGTCTCCAGCCCCACCCATGGCTAATAATTGGTTTTCCTGAATTTTTTTTATTCCCATAATTAGTACGTCAATCCTATGAATTAATATGATAGGTTTTGGAATTCCTACGAAAGAATTCCGGCCGCAAATAAACGATTCTCGTGGGTGGGGCTGGGAACACGTGTCTCCAGCCCCCCCCATGGCTTATAATTGGTTTTCCTGAATTTTTGTTATTCCTTTAATTAGTACGTCATTCCTATGAATTCCTATGATACATTTCGGAATTAATACGAAAGATTTTAGGCGGCAAATAAACGATTCCCGTGGGTGGGGCTGGGAACACGTGTCTCCAGCCCCACCCATGGCTAATAATTGGTTTCCCTGAATTTTTTTTTTCCTATAATTAGTACGTCAATCCTATGAATTCCTATGATAGGTTTCGGAAATCCTACGAAAGATTCCGGCCGCAAATAAACGATTCCCGTGGGTGGGGCTGGGAACACGTGTCTCCATTCCCTCCCATGGCTAATAATTGGTTTTCCTGAATTTTTTTTATTCCTATAATTAGTACGTCAATCCTATGAATTCCTATGATAGATTTCGGAATTAATATGAAAGAATTCTGGCTGCAAATAAACGATTCCCGTGGGTGGGGCTGGGAACACGTGTCTCCAGCCCCACCCATGGCTAATAATTGGTTTCCCTGAATTTTTTTTTATTCCTATAATTAGTGCGTCATTCCTATGAGTTCCTATAATAGGTTTTGAAATTCCTACGAAAGAATTCCGGCCGCAAATAAACGATTCCCGTGGGTGGGGCTGGGAACACGTGTCTCCAGCCCATCCCATGGCTAATAATTGGTTTTCCTGAATTTTTTGTATTCCTTTAATTAGTACGTCGTTCCTATGAATTCCTATGATACGTTTCGGAATTAATACGAAAGAATTGAGGCCGCATATACACGATTCTCGTGGGTTAAGCTGGGAACACGTGTCTCCAGCCCCACTTATGGCTAATAATTGGTTTCCCTGAATTTTTTTTTATTCCTATAATTAGTACGTCATTCCTATGAATTCCTATGATACGTTTTGGAATTAATCCGAAAGATTTGAGGCGGCAAATAAACGATTCCCGTGGGTGGTACTTGGAACACGTGTCTCCAGCCCCACCCATGGCTAATAATTGGTTTTCCTGAATTTTTTTTATTCCCATAATTAGTACGTCAATCCTATGAATTAATATGATAGGTTTTGGAATTCCTACGAAAGAATTCCGGCCGCAAATAAACGATTCTCGTGGGTGGGGCTGGGAACACGTGTCTCCAGCCCCACCCATGGCTTATAATTGGTTTTCCTGAATTTTTGTTATTCCTTTAATTAGTACGTCATTCCTATGAATTCCTATGATACATTTCGGAATTAATACGAAAGATTTTAGGCGGCAAATAAACGATTCCCGTGGGTGGGGCTGGGAACACGTGTCTCCAGCCCCACCCATGGCTAATAATTGGTTTCCCTGAATTTTTTTTTTCCTATAATTAGTACGTCAATCCTATGAATTCCTATGATAGGTTTCGGAAATCCTACGAAAGATTCCGGCCGCAAATAAACGATTCCCGTGGGTGGGGCTGGGAACACGTGTCTCCATTCCCTCCCATGGCTAATAATTGGTTTTCCTGAATTTTTTTTATTCCTATAATTAGTACGTCAATCCTATGAATTCCTATGATAGATTTCGGAATTAATATGAAAGAATTCTGGCTGCAAATAAACGATTCCCGTGGGTGGGGCTGGGAACACGTGTCTCCAGCCCCACCCATGGCTAATAATTGGTTTCCCTGAATTTTTTTTTATTCCTATAATTAGTGCGTCATTCCTATGAGTTCCTATAATAGGTTTCGGAATTCCTACGAAAGAATTCCGGCCGCAAATAAACGATTCCCGTGGGTGGGGCTGGGAACACGTGTCTCCAGCCCATCCCATGGCTAATAATTGGTTTTCCTGAATTTTTTTATTCCTTTAATTAGTACGTCATTCCTATGAATTCTTATGATAGGTTTTGGAATTCCTACGAAAGAATTCCGGCCGCAAATAAACGATTCTCGTGGGTGGGGCTGGGAACACGTGTCTCCAGCCCCACCTATGGCTTATAATTGGTTTTCCTGAATTTTTTTTATTCCCATAATTAGTACGTCAATCCTATGAATTCCTATGATAGGCTTCGGAATTCCTACGATAGAATTCCGGCCGCAAATAAACGATTCCCGTGGGTGGGGCTGGGAACACGTGTCTCCAGCCCCTCCCATTTCTAATAATTGGTTTTCCTGAATTTTTTTTATTCCTATAATTAGTACGTCAATCCTATGAGTTCCTATGATAGGTTTCGGAATTCCTACGAAAGAATTCCGGCCGCAAATAAACGATTCTCGTGGGTTAAGCTGGGAACACGTGTCTCCAGCTCCACCCATGGCTAATAATTGGATTCCCTGAATTTTTTTTATTCCTATAATTAGTGCGTCAATCCTATGAGTTCCTATGATAGGTTTTGAAATTCCTACGAAAGAATTCCGGCCGCAAATAAACGATTCCCGTGAGTGGGGCTGGGAACACGTGTCTCCAGCCCATCCCATGGCTAATAGTTGGTTTTCCTGAATTTTTTGTATTCCTTTAATTAGTACGTCGTTCCTATGAATTCCTATGATACGTTTCGGAATTAATACGAAAGAATTCCGGCCGCAAATAAACGATTCCCGTGGGTGGGGCTGGGAACACGTGTCTCCAGCCCATCCCATGGCTTATAATTGGTTTTCCTGAATTTTTTTTATTCCCATAATTAGTACGTCAATCCTATGAATTCCTATGATAGGCTTCGGAATTCCTACGAAAGAATTCCGGCCGCAAATAAACGATTCCCGTGGGTGGGGCTGGGAACACGTGTCTCCAGCCCCACCCATGGCTAATAATTGGTTTCCCTGAATTTTTTTTATTCCTATAATTAGTGCGTCATTCCTATGAGTTCCTATAATAGGTTTCGGAATTCCTACGAAAGAATTCCGGCCGCAAATAAACGATTCCCGTGGGTGGGGCTGGGAACACGTGTCTCCAGCCCCACCCATGGCTAATAATTGGATTCCCTGAATTTTTTTTATTCCTATAATTAGTACGTCATTCCTATGAATTCTTATGATAGGTTTTGGAATTCCTACGAAAGAATTCCGGCCGCAAATAAACGATTCTCGTGGGTGGGGCTGGGAACACGTGTCTCCAGCCCCACCTATGGCTTATAATTGGTTTTCCTGAATTTTTTTTATTCCCATAATTAGTACGTCAATCCTATGAATTCCTATGATAGGCTTCGGAATTCCTACGATAGAATTCCGGCCGCAAATAAACGATTCCCGTGGGTGGGGCTGGGAACACGTGTCTCCAGCCCCTCCCATTTCTAATAATTGGTTTTCCTGAATTTTTTTATTCCTATAATTAGTACGTCAATCCTATGAGTTCCTATGATAGGTTTCGGAATTCCTACGAAAGAATTCCGGCCGCAAATAAACGATTCTCGTGGGTTAAGCTGGGAACACGTGTCTCCAGCTCCACCCATGGCTAATAATTGGATTCCCTGAATTTTTTTTATTCCTATAATTAGTGCGTCAATCCTATGAGTTCCTATGATAGGTTTTGAAATTCCTACGAAAGAATTCCGGCCGCAAATAAACGATTCCCGTGGGTGGGGCTGGGAACACGTGTCTCCAGCCCATCCCATGGCTAATAGTTGGTTTTCCTGAATTTTTTGTATTCCTTTAATTAGTACGTCGTTCCTATGAATTCCTATGATACGTTTCGGAATTAATACGAAAGAATTCCGGCCGCAAATAAACGATTCCCGTGGGTGGGGCTGGGAACACGTGTCTCCAGCCCATCCCATGGCTTATAATTGGTTTTCCTGAATTTTTTTTATTCCCATAATTAGTACGTCAATCCTATGAATTCCTATGATAGGCTTCGGAATTCCTACGAAAGAATTCCGGCCGCAAATAAACGATTCCCGTGGGTGGGGCTGGGAACACGTGTCTCCAGCCCCGCCCATGGCTAATAATTGGATTTCCTGAATTTTTTTTATTCCTATAATTAGTACGTCAATCCTATGAGTTCATATGATAGGTTTTGAAATCCTACGAAAGAATTCCGGCCGCAAATAAACGATTCCCGTCTGTGGGGCTTGGAACACGTGTCTCCAGCCCCACCCATGGCTAATAATTGGATTCCCTGATTTTTTTTTATTCCTATAATTAGTGCGTCATTCCTATGAGTTCCTATGATAGGTTTCGGAATTCCTACGAAGAATTCCGGCCGCAAATAACGATTCTCGTGGGTTAAGCTGGGAACACGTGTCTCCAGCTCCACCCATGGCTAATAATTGGATTCCCTGAATTTTTTTATTCCTATAATTAGTGCGTCAATCCTATGAGTTCCTATGATAGGTTTCTGAATTCCTACGAAAGAATTCCGGCCGCAAATAAACGATTCCCGTGGGTGGGGCTGGGAACACGTGTCTCCAGCCCCTCCCATGGCTAATAATTGGATTTCCTGAATTTTTTTTATTCCTATAATTAGTGCGTCATTCCTATGAGTTCCTATGATAGGTTTCGGAATTCCTACGAAAGAATTCCGGCCGCAAATAAACGATTCTCGTGGGTTAAGCTGGGAACACGTGTCTCCAGCTCCACCCATGGCTAATAATTGGATTCCCTGAATTTTTTTTATTCCTATAATTAGTGCGTCATTCCTATGAGTTCCTATGATAGGTTTTGAAATTCCTACGAAAGAATTCCGGCCGCAAATAAACGATTCCCGTGGGTGGGGCTGGGAACACGTGTCTCCAGCCCATCCCATGGCTTATAATTGGTTTTCCTGAATTTTTTTTATTCCTTTAAGTAGTACGTCATTCCTATGAATTCCTATGATACGTTTTGGAATTACTACGAAGGATTCGAGACGGCAAATAAACGATTCCCGTGTGTGGGGCTGGGAACACGTGTCTCCAGCCCCACCCATGGCTAATAATTGGTTTTCGTGAATTTTTTTTATTCCTATAATTAGTACGTCAATCCTATGAATTCCTATGATAGATTTCGGAATTCCTACGAAAGAATTCCGGCCGCAAATAAACGATTCCCGTGGGTGGGACTTGGAACACGTGTCTCCAGCCCCACCCATGGCTAATAATTGGTTTCCCTGAATTTTTTTTATTCCTATAATTAGTGCGTCATTCCTATGAGTTCCTATAATAGGTTTCGGAATTCCTACGAAAGAATTCCGCCGCAAATAAAACGATTCCCGTGGGTGGGGCTGGGAACACGTGTCTCCAGCCCCACCCATGGCTAATAATTGGATTCCCTGAATTTTTTTTATTCCTATAATTAGTACGTCATTCCTATGAATTCTTATGATAGGTTTTGGAATTCCTACGAAAGAATTCCGGCCGCAAATAAACGATTCTCGTGGGTGGGGCTTGGAACACGTGTCTCCAGCCCCACCTATGGCTTATTATTGGTTTTCCTGAATTTTTTTTATTCCCATAATTAGTACGTCAATCCTATGAATTCCTATGATAGGCTTCGGAATTCCTACGAAAGAATTCCGGCCGCAAATAAACGATTCCGTGGGTGGGGCTGGGAACCACGTGTCTCCAGCCCCTCCATTTCTAATAATTGTTTTCCTGAATTTTTTTTATTCCTATAATTAGTACGTCAATCCTATGAGTTCCTATGATAGGTTTCGGAATTCCTACGAAAAAATTCCGGCCGCAAATAAACGGTTCTCGTGGGTTAAGCTGGAACACGTGTCTCCAGCTCCACCCATGGCTAATAATTGGATTCCCTGAATTTTTTTTATTCCTATAATTAGTACGTCATTCCTATGAATTTTTATGATAGGTTTTGAAATTCCTACGAAAAAATTCCGGCCGCAAATAAACGATTTCCGTGGGTGGGGCTGGGAACACGTGTCTCCAGCCCATCCCATGGCTAATAGTTGGTTTTCCTGAATTTTTTGTATTCCTTTAATTAGTACGTCGTTCCTATGAATTCCTATGATACGTTTCGGAATTAATACGAAAGAATTCCGGCCGCAAAAAAACGATTCCCGTCTCAGGGGCTTGGAACACGTGTCTCCAGCCCCACCCATGGCTAATAATCGGATTCCCTGATTTTTTTTTATTCCTATAATTAGTACGTCAATCCTATGAATTAATATGATAGGTTTTGGAATTCCCTACGAAAGAATTCCGGCCGCAAATAAACGATTCCCGTGGGTGGGGCTGGGATCACGTGTCTCCAGCCCCACCCATGGCTTATAATTGGTTTTCCTGAATTTTTGTTATTCCTTTAATTAGTACGTCATTCCTATGAATTCCTATGATACGTTTCGGAATTAATACGAAAGATTTTAGGCCGCAAATAAACGATTCCGTGGGTGGGGCTGGGAACACGTGTCTCCAGCCCCACCCATGGCTAATAATTGGTTTCCCTGAATTTTTTTTTTCCTATAATTAGTACGTCAATCCTATGAATTCCTATGATAGGTTTCGGAAATCCTACGAAAGATTCCGGCCGCAAATAAACGATTCCCGTGGGTGGGGCTGGGAACACGTGTCTCCATTCCCTCCCATGGCTAATAATTGGTTTTCCTGAATTTTTTTATTCCTATAATTAGTACGTCAATCCTATGAATTCCTATGATAGATTTCGGAATTAATATGAAAGAATTCTGGCTGCAAATAAACGATTCCCGTGGGTGGGGCTGGGACACGTGTCTCCAGCCCCACCCATGGCTAATAATTGGTTTCCCTGAATTTTTTTTATTCCTATAATTAGTGCGTCATTCCTATGAGTTCCTATAATAGGTTTCGGAATTCCTACGAAAGAATTCCGGCCGCAAATAAACGATTCCCGTGGGTGGGGCTGGGAACACGTGTCTCCAGCCCCACCCATGGCTAATAATTGGATTCCCTGAATTTTTTTTATTCCTATAATTAGTACGTCATTCCTATGAATTCTTATGATAGGTTTTGGAATTCCTACGAAAGAATTCCGGCCGCAAATAAACGATTCTCGTGGGTGGGGCTGGGAACACGTGTCTCCAGCCCCACCTATGGCTTATAATTGGTTTTCCTGAATTTTTTTTATTCCCATAATTAGTACGTCAATCCTATGAATTCCTATGATAGGCTTCGGAATTCCTACGAAAGAATTCCGGCCGCAAAAAAACGATTCCCGTGGGTGGGGCTGGGAACACGTGTCTCCAGCCCCTCCCATTTCTAATAATTGGTTTTCCTGAATTTTTTTTATTCCTATAATTAGTACGTCAATCCTATGAATTCCTATGATACGTTTCGGAATTAATACGAAAGAATTCCGGCCGCAAATAAACGATTCTCGTGTTTGGGGCTGGGAACACGTGTCTCCAGCCCCACCCATGGCTTATAATTGGTTTTCCTGAATTTTTTTTATTCCTTTAATTAGTACGTCATTCCTATGAATTCCTATGATACGTTTCGGAATTAATACGAAAGAATTCCGGCCGCAAATAAACGATTCCCGTGGGTGGGACTTGGAACACGTGTCTCCAGCCCCACCCATGGCTAATAATTGGTTTTCCTGAATTTTTTTTATTCCCATAATTAGTACGTCAATCCTATGAATTCCTATGATAGGCTTCGGAATTCCTACGAAAGAATTCCGGCCGCAAAAAAACGATTCCCGTCTCAGGGGCTTGGAACACGTGTCTCCAGCCCCACCCATGGCTAATAATTGGATTCCCTGATTTTTTTTTATTCCTATAATTAGTGCGTCATTCCTATGAGTTCCTATGATAGGTTTTGGAATTCCTACGAAAGAATTCCGGCCGCAAAAAAACGATTCTCGTGTTTGGGGCTGGGAACACGTGTCTCCAGCCCCACCCATGGCTAATAGTTGGTTTTCCTGAATTTTTTGTATTCCTTTAATTAGTACGTCGTTCCTATGAATTCCTATTGTAACGTGGTCGGGGATGGCCCGTTAAATATAAGATATTCAGGGAAGAAATTAATTCTTTTGAATATATTTTTACCGTAGCTCGGGAGCACGAATGGTATTAGGATCTTAATATTACAAATAAATAACGATTGATCTAAATTATTATTAATATAAACAAATTATTTATTATAACTTACAATTTACGAACAAAGTTACCAAAATGTAGGATTGTACGGAGTTCAGTCGCACGTGATGGACTCGCGGAGAACTGGTATTCTCTTACATAGGGATATTGGCCGGAGCCTTACAATCATAAAATATATAATATGTGTCACCTAAACCGGAGGGGCTTAATATATTATTATAGTCAGCGCATAATATGCCTAATGTGCATATTATGATGCTTATAAAATAAACGTAATGATGTAACATACGTTACATTACCCCCCTCCCTTTTTTTTTGAACATTTTAAATATACCTACTATATAAAAAAAATAACAATATAAATCATGTTTCATTTAAACAATACATCCCTTTTTTTTTTTAATATAATAAAATATGTCATTAAGGTAAGTTTTATTTAAATTGATTGAAATTGTACCTGATTTTGAAGATTTACCACTGTTTTGGTGTGAATACGTGATAAATGATATTTTCATTATATATGTATACATACACTGCATGTCTGCATTAATTATACATATAATATGCATATAATATATTATATCTTTATGTTTAGTTATTAAATTTAGTTCTGTTTTGCTCGGGCTTATCAATGTGATAACACTCATGATAATAATATATTAATTGTATTTTTGAGTGGCGAGAGCACTATATCAATTTTTTCTTGATTCATCAGTTTTTGACGATCATCGTATATGTATATAATGAAAATCAAATCTACGTAAAATTTTGCAAGCGTCAATGATGTGGTAGTGTCATTGTAAAATTTCAACCAGTTTTTACTACCATTTTTATTTTTTATAATAATATTTTTTATGTGAACCCTTTTTCTACATTTGTATATATACGCCTAACGCATGTTTTCACCCGCTCTTTTTTTTTTACATAATATACCTATGCCTTATAATAAATTTACAATATAAATCCACATCACACTCATGTACGATATTAGCTAGTGTTCCGAAATTATTCTTCACCCGTTCCGTCGTTTGGATGTCATCGGTCCCTCAAGGCCTCAACCAGTACTGAAACAGGGAGGTCTGTTATCGTGGTCTGTCCTTGGATAGGTGCACGCTGTACCGCTATAACCTCGGCGTCGTGAACGGTCTTGATTGAACCACCATAATATGTCTTGGATTCGAGGTTTATGGTTCGGTTATAGTCGCCTAAATTTGTAAACTTCTCACTCTTTTTTTTGCTTACAGTTTTTTTTGTGGTTGTTATGGTCAAATAAAAAAAATTAATTTATCCTTATGCTAAAAAATAAAAGTACATAAATGATTATTTAATAATATTACTCTTATTGCACTATTCTATCTCGACACCTTATTCTTAAATTTATTAATTAATTACTATACATGGAGGTAAAGTGATATCGTAAGATTTTTTACGCACTGAAAATCGTTAGAATGCTATACGGGTAACAAAATTTGATAATGTGCTAGAAAAAATGATAACTGTTGTAATTGTGCTTGCTGTACATAATTTAATTTAGGTATGATATTCTTATTGTATTTCCTTTTAGTATCTATTTTATTTTGCTGATTTTTGATTTACTGAGCTACTATTTTATTAGTACTTCTATTAGACTATTTCGAATATTGCAATTCAACATTTGCTTGTGTTTACCTTATTAATTTTACGTGTCTCATTTAAAAATGTATATACATGGTATTCTTAATATATATTTACCAAGTAAAATCCAAATTCACATTTTTATGTGTTGTAATAAAAACCTTTTGTATGTTTTCATTAGGCAAGCATATTCGATAATAATTTTATTTCTTTTCCCACATTTATTATACGTTATATTTATTATATACATTTTATACTATAATTACAATTATTCTAATGAATTATTTAACGTTCTTTATATTTTTTTAACTGACTAACATGTTTGTATTCGTTTACTAACTGTCCATTTTTAATTATTTCTACTACATAAGTTACATCCGATACTTGCTTCATTATTTTAAACGGGCCGTTGTACCTGTAAGCAAATTTAGATTTTCTATTTTCGTCTTTAACCAGTACTTTTTCGTTTAATTTAAATTTTACCTGTACCTTATTTGAGTCATAATGTTTTTTATTTTTTAAATATCTGTCCGCTAATAATTTTGGGAGTTCGTCTCGAATATTTTTTAATTTTTCTAATTCCAGTAAAATTTCGGGGGATGTTTCTGTACTTATAAAGTTGTGATCAAATATGGATTTTGGATTATATCCGTGTAATAGGTAAAACGGTGTGTTTTTCGTTGTATCATTAATTGCTGTGTTATACGCAAATAGTACATATTTTAAGTATAGACTCCATTTATTTGGTTGTTCCTGTACAAAGTGGCTAATCATATCTATCAAAGTCCCGTTGAACTTTTCTGTTTGGCCTTGGCTCTGTGGACGGTATGCAATTGAATATGTGTTATTTATATTTAGCGCTTTTAGTAAGTCTTTCACCAATTTATTTGCAAAATGTAAGCCTCGGTCAGAGTGTATTTCGCCTATTGCTCCGAATTGTAAAATTATATCTATTAAATATGCGACTGTAGACCGTGCGTCAGCGTTTTTGTATGATTTTGCTATAGCATATTTTGTAGTTGCGCAAGTTCCTACCAAAATATATGAGTTGCCATTGCTTGGTGGATTAATTGGCCCAATATAATCTATTGTAAATCGTTGAAATGGTATACCAATAATTTTTGGCGATGTTAGCATTTGACCATAGGTCGCTTTTTTATCCGATTTCCTTTTTTGACAACTAATGCATGATGTTACATATTTGCGTACGTCTTTATATATAGTGGGCCAAAAATATCGTTGAATAATTTTATTGTATGTCTTGTCTATGCCTAAGTGTCCTGATAAGGGGTGATCATGGAAATCGTTTAAAATTTCATTTTTACGGTTGTCTGGTAATGCTATTAAATTTATAGATTGCCCCTTAGCTAAATGTTTATACATGAGTATTTGGTTTTCATTTATAAAATAATTTTTTGATTTTCTTATCCATATATGGGCTGAAAGTTCTGGGTTCTGTATTGCTTTAATAATATTTACGTATGTATCATCACGTAATTGTTCCAGGTGTATATTAATAGTTTTTACTGTGCAAATTGTCAGTTCATTATCCTTTTGTAGTTTTACTTGTTGATTTGTTTCCAATTCAGGGTTAATATCAAATTCAATTTTTTTACTATCTATTAAATTTGTTATGTTACATATTGTTTTATTGTTTTCGTTATTTTTTACGAGTATGTTTTGTAATATAATTGTCTGAGGTAATATTGTGTCAGCAAAATGTTCATTCATGTTTTCAAATTCTTGTTCTACATAATGCGTTAACTCATCAAATCCGTTTTGTGTAATATCCACTCCGTCGTATTTTATATTTATTGTTGATGAATCACTTTTTTCCGGAGTTGTTGCTATTGACTTGCATTCTATTTTATGTTCGGGCTCTAATTCATAAATTCTTATTGTAATATCTGTATTTTGAAACGTGAATTTAATCATTTTTGAAATTAAGTCCCATTCTTTTTTATCTAAACCCGAACAAACCTTGGGTAATCCCAAATTATGTATTGACTGATTTATGCAAAACTGTTTTAAATTTTGTAGTGTGTTAAAAATGTCTTCATAGGTGGGTTTATCATTAGATGAGTCTTTTGTTATTAAATATAAAATCCATTGTTTATTTTTCTTTAAAAATGCTATTTCTTTAAGTTTTTTATCCTGTGCTTTTAATACGTCTACATCTTCGAATCTTTCTTTAAATTGTTGTGCAATCCCTGCCTTCATTTTGAAGTCTTTACTGACACAATGTGCAATGGCATCATTTATTTGTTCAGTGAATATATTACCTATAATGTCATGGTATCTACATTTGGTTCTATACGTTTCTGAATGTTGTAATAGAAATTGTTGAAAATTATTTTTTTGCTTATTTTGTGTAATATTGTTTGTGTCTTGTAAGGTATTTCTTGGTTTGTCTTTCTGCTCTATTTTTAATTTTACTTCAGTTCCTTTATAATTAAACGTTACTAAATTATTTTTTAAATCTAAAATTGTGTTAATTTTTTTCATTATGTCTAATCCTATTATTACTGGTGTACATAGATTGTCAACTATTATTATTTTATGATTTATTACTATCGTTCCTATTTTTATCTGAGCCACAGTTGTTCCTAGAATGTTTAGTTTAGAATTGTTCGCCGTCTCAAGGTAGATTTCGCTTTCGGAAGTTAATTTATTACATTTAATAGTATTTTTGTTTATAACAGTTACGCTCGCCCCTGTATCTAATAATAACGTAGTAGTTTGGTCATTTATTTTTCCTTGTATTTCTATTTTTCTTTTTTCTTTTTTATTATCATAATAAGTATAAATGGTATTATTTGTATTTTTATTTTTGACGATATTTAAAGGTATCTTACTGGTAATGTATTGGTGTTCCTGTGCAGACCCAGTTATCTGCGGAACTATTAGTTTTTTTTGTACAAAGGTATTACAGTTTCTCTTTATGTGTCCCGGAATTCCACACAGAAAACATATCGGTGGCCCTTGTTGATTTAAATAATTATAATTAGTATGGGGAATTGTTGCCTGATTACTTTGTGTAGGGCGTAGTGTGTTGCCTAATTGGTTATTATTTGTATTATTATAATTATAATTTTGATAAAAGTTTGGTCTAGGAAACTGGGTGTTTGTCATCTGGTTATTATGTGTGAGATAGTTGTAATTCGGATAAAAGTTTGGTCTTGGATTATTT